CTAAGTGTTAATTTAAGCACTGGTTTCATTCTTTTGAGTATAAGTATTTTTGCTTCTCCATTAGCTTTCACAACCTGTACCCTTAATCTGCTACCATACTGCCACATAGTGGACCTAAATTGTAAAAATCACAAAGTGTGTATTTTGTAAATAAACTCTTTTTTTTTTTTTAATATATATATTGTTAATGAAAGGACACTATAGGCCTCTACAATGTAAATGGTTCCTCCAACCAACATAACCACTTCTGAAGTGGGCATGGTGATAGGAGTCAGTATGTGCAGTGTTTCAGCGTAAAACACTACACATGCTGATTTATTAGCAGTTTTGTGCTGGGGGCTAGTTGCAGCCCAGAACTCATGTCAATTGTCCTGTCTCATGCCTCATGTGAATTCTGTGCACAAAATACATCCGTCATCAGTGCACACTGGATGTCCCTTCCTCCCTCACACCTTTCTTCTGTGCAGTCCTCCTCGCCTTCCCAATGAGCGCAATTTTTCTCCCCTCCCCATATTAAACAAAAATCAGTAATTCCTATTTTATGCATACTTACTTTTAGACTTTTATACAACTTTGATGAAGTGGCTCTCTAGCTTCACGACATCTAGCATGAACTTGTGAATGTGAAATGGATTAATTATTCCTTGTGGCAGGTTCTGCTATCAGTATCTCACTATATGCTAGTGCACTAATTCTTGAGGAAGTTCCTGAAGGGAACGACACACGTTGACTTCATCATACTGGCCATGGTCAGTAAAGACTCTGTCTTCGAAATCTCCTTGGAGGATTCCACTGTATTCCTGGAGGATTGCTACATGAACTAAATATCTCCACCCAGCAGGGCTGCACATATTCGGCTACACAGCACTTGGTTCTCCCTCCTTTTCAGACGTACGGAGCAGCTACGATATATATATATAAATAAACAAATGCTGGAAGTCCTTGCACACAAGCTTAAAATGTACCAATAAGTGCCGGGTGCCAACCTGAGCCTTAAGTATCCAAACGAAGAATGGAGGAAGCTGCACGCTGTTTGATCCTGACATAGTACTGAAATATTGATCTATTTGAATGCATATCAAATAAATTTTGGATACTAATTGAAGACCGAGCGTGCAGCTTTCCTATTTTTTTTTGCCTTTTAGCAGGTACTTGGGTTTTCCAGGGGATGCCCCACCAAGAGCACACATTTTTGATGATGTTGCCTCTGCTGCCATACTTATTAGCCATTGGACTTTCATTTTTGGCTCTTTATTTGCTATATATTATTTAAGCTTTTATTAGGGCAGGGGCAAGTTTACTAAGTGTTGCTTTTATGTATGTCTCTTTAACATGTGTGACATGTCATGATTCCCTTTTATTCCAGAAGTTTGGTCCTTAAGGGGTTAATCTGTATATTATTTGTATTTATATTATATTTCTGATGGTGGCCCTATGGGACATACAAATACTCTAAATAATTATTACATTTGGAGTTATCTTTCTTATGTTACTTGTTATTGTGGCAGGACCGCTGCCTGTCCGAGGAATTGCTTTTCTGATATTATGTGTGTTTCCCCATCTCGTCGTATATTGTGCCCACTCCCCGTTCGGGAGTGCTTCCACAAAGTGAATTCATTCGCCTCCTAAATGGGGACAACCTCAATACCTCATTTAGAATGTTAGTTTAGAACCTTCACACCTCGCAACATAAGTGTCAAACCGCAAGGGAAACCATTAATGAGCGCTCCCCTGGGTGGCCGCCATTTGTACAGACGCCAGCCAGGGTGAGTGTTTGTGGATTGTTTCCCAACTCATTCGTTTCCCGAACGAGGACCTCTCCAGTTCCCCCATTAGAACATTCACACCCATTCATCAGAATGTTCTCACTTGCAACCTAAGTGTGAAACCACAAGGGAAGTAATTAATGAATGCTCCCCTGGGTGGCCACCCTTTTGTATAGACGAATGCCGTCCCGGGGGAGCATTCGTGTCCCGAAAGGAGACACTTACCTTGCAGGGTTTCACACAGGGACCTCGTGACCAGAGACCAGTCAGAGGAAGTACCGCTGTGAGGGTCTCTTAGATCGGTGTGGGCACTGCTGGGGCAAAAAAAACAGCCTGGGAGACAAAGGGACGCTCCCTTGTTCCTGCGCTTAGACTCCCATGCACAGAGGCTACTGGGAAGAAGACCCCCTACCTTTAGTGGCAGGAGTTGGGGACGAAGGGAACAGAGTCCTTTCCCGCGCTGGGGACCCAGGGAGGGGGAGGATCCTGGGAGGGGACACTGGATGTTGAGATGATACACCCCTTGCATGGGGTATGTATAAAAGCTGTGTGTGACCAATAAATTGGTTGTTGTACCACCTGTGTCGTCCATTTACTCGGGGAAGATAGGTCTCTTTGTATTTTAAATGATTCCTGATCGGCTGAAGGAAGGGAATCAGCGGAGGTAACCGGTCGGGTTACCCGTGGCCCACTACAGTTATATTGATGTATATATCAGAGGTCCATGTATAAGGAGGCTTTAATAACAAGCTGTTTACATACATCACTGTTTGTGGTTTACTGTATTATATTTATGGTGACAGATTACTGGTGGCAGGAGCATTGTTGTTCTGTTGAGGTGTGAGGTGTTTTATGTTATTTTTCCATTATCCAGGCTTTATTGGCCTTTATACTTTATTAACAATTTTCCCAATTAGAGTTTATCTCTGACATATTTGACTTATCATGCAAAGGATGTTTTTTTTTTTTTTATATATTTTGATTGCAGTATTATTTTTGTATTGGATATTCGTTGGTGGGTGACCTTAATACCTGCACCATACAAGCAGTTTAGTGCCAACACATAATAACTGTATTTTGTATCACTTTTGTGTTAGGTCCCTACAACAATGGTAAAAAAACACTGCTGTGCTTTACCGGGCAAAGCACTGCAGCCCTCTTCCACTACCACCAAATAACCCCTAGAATGCTATAGATGAACACCGAACAGCAGCAGCAAACTATGTGGCTCTGAGCCCAGGGGCCTAGTGTCTGTCACACCTTTTTGCTAAAGACAGAACAAAAGCTGTGGGATAACAAGTAGAGATGGGTAGCCAAACTTGGGGAGGTTGAATTTTATAAATGTCATTTTCTCAACTAAATTTGGTGAGCGCTGTGACCTCTGGATAACCGAGAAGAGTGAGTGTGTGTGTGTGTGTGTTCGCTCAATGATTTGTGGCAATTGTTGTGCAACCAACCTGAGCACTAGCCACACCTGACTTTTTTGATCTCAGTAAGTCAGAGACGCTGTATTAGTAGCCAAAGCAGGTTCTGAAAGGTTTGCTTCAACCATTTCAGGGCCATTACTCTGGGATGATGATGTAGCTCCACTGGTACCCACCATGGCACTGGTTATGGCCTTGGTCCAAATGGCTGCTATTTCTGCTTTGTCTGCCTCTGCCTTTAGCACCACCATCACAGACACCAGCTAAGGAGATACTTCTTCTATAAAAAAGGGTTTACCCTGCCATTTTCTATAACTATGACTTAGCAGCTTAGCTGCATTAGCCACAATTCTGAGGATTCAAAGTTAAACCATAAATGCTTAAAGTGATGAAGAGGTGTTTCTAAACAAAGTGTGCAACTAAGCTGCTAACACAAATTGGCACTGTATGGACAGAAAATGGCCCAGTGGGCAGGTTTATTTTACTTTTCCTCCCAGTTTAAGGTTGTCAGGTAAGTAAAACATTAAAGATAAAAAGTCGAAAAAAGAATGACTAAGAGGTCAAAGCTATTGACCCGATAGTCAAAAAATGGACTAAATGGGTAAAAAGTGGGCATAACTCCATATATTGTTATAACAGAGAAGAGGAAAGAATTCCTGTGTGTCTATGCAATGGAAAGAAGGGCCCAAAGTATCCTTTAGGTGCCTAATTGCAACGCACATCTACAGGTTTTACCCATGTAGAATAGTAGACAACTCAAAGAGTAGGAAAATAGCATCTAAAAAATAAGAAAATCTTTATTTGAGTCATCTGACCTAAAAACACACAATTGGGTAAAACAAACCAGTGCAGAGTGTATAGGTGATTTAAAAAGGGGGATCTAGTGGAGCTTGCTATATAGATCCAAAAACTGACTATGTAGAGTATACGTATAGAAAATATGTGCACATGCAGTAAAGTAGCTTGATGTATACATGTGTATTTAATGAGGCTGAAAGTGCATCATATAAGATACGTTAATAGTCAGGTAGATCTAAAGAAATTCCTGTAAGGTACTATCTTGGAATAACAGGCAAGCAATCCAAATGAATGTAATGGAAAAGCAGATAATTGCCCTATTAGGTAGAAAAAAACATGTAGTTCCCCAGTGAGATCCTAAATACACCTTTTAGATAGGAGGCAAGGGTGCTATAAATAACCTGTCTGTTTTGGAAGAGGGTAGCAAAATGTGAACAAAATATGGTAGACATGTGCAATTCGTTTCGTTCCGAATGTCAATTCGGACGAATTTCTGGCAATTCGGATACTTCTGAATGTCCGAATAGCTGAATTCCTGAAGTTACGAAGTATTCGGCAGTATTGCCGAAGTACTAATATACCTACCCAGTGGAAGAATGAAGAATGCTACACTGTATACAAGTTTAAATAAAAAGTATACAAACATAGCCAGGATTCAGCTGTAAGCAATGGCGTACATACCAGGGTCGCAGGGGTCGCGGCTGCGACCGGGCCCGGCCCACCAGGGGGCCCGGCCGACCCTGCGACCCGGTATGTAGCCACAGGGCCAGCCTCTTCCCCTGGGGGGCCCAGGAGCCATCTTCCGGCGCCGGCATCCTTACGCGGCGCGCGAGGGAGCTGAAGAGGAAGCACTGAGTGCTCCCTTGCGCGCCCGCCTGCCCGACCGGCCGGCCACCCGGGTCAGCAGGGCCACTGGACCCCAGGGAATCCCCCCAGCACTCCAAAAGGTAAGGAGGCTGGGGGGATTACATTTAAAAAAAAAAAAAAAACTAGTGTTAGAGTGAGTGTTAGAGTGAGTGTTAGAGTGAGTGTTAGAGTGAGTGTTAGTGTGTGTGAGTGTTAGTGTGTGTCTGCTAGTGAGTGTTAGTGTGAGTGTTAGAGTGAATGTGAGTGTTAGTGTCTGTCTGCTAGTGAGTGTCAGTGAGTGTGTTACTGTGTGTGTCTTACTGAGTGTGTGTGTGAGTGTTAGTGTGTGTCTGCTAGTGAGTGTCAGTGAGTGTGTTACTGTGTGTGTCTTACTGAGTGTGTGTGTTAGTGAGTCTGTTTGATGTCTGTTAGTGAGTGTGTGTTTGTCAATGAGAGTGTACGTTTTGTAAGTGAGTGTGTATGTATGTCTGTCGCTGACTGTGTCTGTCAGTAAATGTGTGTGTCTGTTAGCTAGTGTGTATGCGTCTGTAAGTGTGTGTGTGTGTGTGTCTTCAGCACTTACCTTTCTCCAGCGCCGGACTCCCTTGGCTCTGAGGATCCCTCAGCCTCTCAGCTCCGAATGCGACCGCGCACGCATTCAAACCGCCCATAGGAAAGCATTACTTAATGCTTTCCTATGGACGTTCAGTGTGCTCCTCTAGCAGCTGTCAGTGAGACAGCCACTAGAGGCTGGATTAACCCTCAGTGAAACATAGCAGTTTCTCTGAAACTGCTATGTTTTCAGCTGCAGGGTTAAAACTAGAGGGACATGACACCCAGACAACTTCATTGAGCTGAAGTGATCTGGGTGTCTGTAGTGGTCCTTTAAAGGACCACTATAGTGCCAGGAAAACATACTCGTTTTCCTGGCACTATAGTGCCCTGAGGGTGCCCCCACCCTCAGGGTCCCCCTCCCGCCCGGCTCTGGAAAGGGAAAAGGGGTTAAAACTTACCTTTTTCCAGCGCTGGGCGGAGAGCTCTCCTCCTCCGATCCTCCTCTTCTCCTCCCCGTCGGCTGAATGCGCACGCGCGGCAAGAGCTGCGCGCGCATTCAGCCGGTCACATAGGAAAGCATTCATAATGCTTTCCTATGGACGCTGGCGTGCTCTCACTGTGAAAATCACAGTGAGAAGCACGCAAGCGCCTCTAGCGGCTGTCAATGAGACAGCAGCTAGAGGAAATAGGGGAAGGCTTAACCCATTCATAAACATAGCAGTTTCTCTGAAACTGCTATGTTTATGAAAAAATGGGTTAACCCTAGCTGGACCTGGCACCCAGACCACTTCATTAAGTGTGTGTGCATCTGCATGCACTGGCATACATACCGCAGTCGCAGGAGTCGCAGCCCTGTAACCCCTGTGACCAGGTGCCCACCGCCATGTGTTGCCCGACCTGGGGAGGGGGCCCCGGGATCAATTTTCGCACCGGGGCCCCATGGGTCATGTGTACGCCACTGGCTGTAAGCATTTCCAACACTTACAACAATCAGGTAACACACATTCATATAAAATGTAAGTTACTTAGCCAGTCAATGTTATGACAGGAATGAATAAGTAGATAACTCCCTAATTCCCACGGTATTAGGGAGCTGTCTACAAAAAGGCTGAAAGACCTAAATTGGTCTTTCCGCCAAATTTACTAATACTAAGTAAAGATTAAGATAGTAAGTAAAGATTACTTAGTATTAGTAAATTATGCCCCTACTCGCTATACCACAATTAGGGATATGTCTAGTAAACAGTGAGCAGCCTGTGGCTGCTTACTGTAAAAAAACAAAAAAAACACGTGTCCCGTCTCCCTAGCCCCCACCCGTGCCGTGCGAGTGGGGGCTTCTAAACTGAAGGGGGACCTATTGCCCCCCCCCGGCCCCCATCCCTGAATGGCAGATGGGGGCCCTGAATTAGAATAAGGGGGGACCTATTGTCCTCCCCCCGGCCCCCACCCCTGAGCGGCGGGTGGGGGCCCTAAATTAGAATAAGGGGGGACCAAATGTCCTACCCCCTGGCCCCCACCCCTTTACAGTGGGTGGGGGCCCTAAAGTAAAATAAAGGGGACGACCTATTGTCCTCCCCCTGACCCCCACCCCTGAGCGGTGGGTGAGGGCCTATTGTCCTCCTCCCGGCCCCCACCCCTGAGCCCTAAATACCCTGGGGGCCTAAATACCAATAAGGGGGGGGGGCTATTTTAAGGACTAGAGCTCCCAGGACTGAGTGGCGTCCAGTGCTTGGTGATGTCTAGAGCGAATTCCCCATTCGGCTCCAGGACGGAGCGGTTCCAGGGCCCCAGTCAAGCTACGGTGACTGTGGGCAGAAGTGCTGTGGTTTGTCCTCTGTTCCAGCTAGGAAGCGGTCCTTGGCGGAGGTACCCATCCGGGGTACAGGGAGCTCCGTCACAAAAGTCTTTGTAGAATAACTTTAATTTCACCTTTCTCCTTCTTCCTAGGCAATAAACCCAAGGGGGAATTTCTAAAATGTTCAAAAGGTGGGTATTTGAATGGATCAGCAATTATTTCTAAGGAAACTTCTTTATTACCTTTAATTCGTGCAACTTGAAGATTTTATTTAAGTAATCAAACCAATGGAGAGGGATGAAAAATGGATTCTAAAATCAATCTTGAAACTCTTCTCAATTACTCAAACTTTCTTCATGGTGGGGTATTTTTTTTTAATTTTTTTTTAAAGGGGAAGTTGAACAAACCCCTTTAATGACGGGACAGATTGCAGTGTTTGCCTGTGTGCTGGGTCAGGCACACACATGATTGCTCAATTAAATGTGAATTGTCAGCAATTCAGGTTGAATTTAAATTGTAGGTGAAATAGCTAAACTGAAAACAAAGCATACTTAGATAAAATTTTTTGAATATCTGCTTAAACAGAAACAAAAGTGTTGTATCTCCTAAATGATGGATAATTGAGAAGTGAGACTGCAGTGGCATAATATATACACCATATCTGCTTCATTCATTTACTAATGTATTCTTTATTCAGCACTGTCTACTATTTCTAGCATTTGTACGCAAACTCCTCTGGATTTCCAGTATTGCTCTAAATCTCTCTTTTTTACATTCTGTAAATTGTAACAATTGTGAGCAAGTTCCCCACAGAAATGCCTGTTCTGAAAATCGTTCCTTAAACATTTCTTATTAGTTTCCCACTTCTACTTTTACACCTCTGCTTTTACATGTGACTTGGCATTTAAGACCTAAACGTGGAATTGTACCTCAATAACAAGAAAATTACTTATGAAAGAGGAATCGAGTTGTTTCTGAGGTTTTGTAGTAAGCAAGTACAGAATGCGACATACATTGCTTTGGTCAAATTCTGTAGATTCTGTTTGATGGTGAAATTATTGCTTTGCCTGAAACTCATTTTAGCTGTTTTAAATTATATGCCATTGGCTGTTAAAGTGGAAAAAAGGCAATCTGGCTAGCAAAATTAATAAATAATTGTATTCTCTTTAAAGTGACACCATACCATGTCAAATTTTTTTGGTGCTAAAAAGTAAATTTGGGGCGTGCACTTCATATCTGAGAGTCAAATAGAACCGTCATAAACTGCTGTGACATTGCAGTTTGACTAATTCACATTTCTTGGTGCTAAAAAGTACATTTGTGGCGTGCACTAAATATCTGAGCGTGAAAAAAACGGTCAAATACTGTGGTTTCATCGCACTTTGAAAAATTCAAATTTCTTTGGTGCTAAAAAGTAAATTTGGGGTGTGCACTTCATATCTGAGAGTCAAAGAGAACCATCAAATACTGCTGTGACATTACAGTTTGACTAATTCACCTTTTTTTGGTGCTAAAAAGTACATTTGTGGTGTGCACTTAATATCTGAGCGTCAAATAGAACCGTCAAATACTGTGGTTACATTACACTTTGAAAAATTCAAATTGCATTTCTTGCAGTCCAATAAAACCCTTAAATACTACTGTTACATTGTTGGTTTAAAAAAATCACACTTTTTTGTGCTAAATAGAACATTTGCGGCCTGCAGTACATTTCTTGCAGTCCAATAAAAATAATCACTGGAGAGAAATCGCCCGCCATCACCACCAACTTCAGCACAGCCCGGGGTAAATTTCAGCAGGCTGTTTTAAAACTCATATGTTTGGGGGAAAAACCGCACACCGCGCAGGAGCTGTGGACGGGCATGGAACAACAGACCGATGAGTGGTTGTTGCCACTGAGCCTCAAGCCCGGCCTGGTGGTGTGCGATAGTGGGCGAAATCTCGTAGCAGCTCTGGGCCTAGCCGGTTTGACGCACATCCTTTGCCTGGCATATGCGCTGAATTTGGTGGTGCAGAAATTCCTGAAAAACTACCCAGATATATCAGAGCTGCTGCAGAAAGTGCGGGCCGTCTGTGCGCGCTTTCTGCATTCTCACTCTGCTGCTGCTCGCCTGTCTGCGCTGCAGCGTAACTTCGGCCTTCCTGCTCACCGCCTCATATGCGACATACCCACAAGGTGAAACTCCACCTTGCACATGCTGGAGAGACTGTGTGAGCAGCAGCAGGTGATAGTGGAGTTTCTGCTGCAGCACGCACGGGTCAGTCGCTCTGCACCAGACTTGCCGCCCAATAGATCCTCGTTAAAAGATTTAAAGTGTACTCATTCCAATTACAGGGCCTCAAAAGAGTCATGTATTGTTATTTTTCATCACCTGTATTGGGTAATTTGCGCGCCTGCTGCCTTCCTTGGATGTGGTAGCCATTTCTCAGGCTCCCTCTCCGGAATCAAACCCTGATTTCCCGTTACCAGTGGTCACCATGGTAGGCACAGAAAGTACTATCGAAAGTTGATAGGGAAGACATCCGAATGCGTCGTTGCCATCACGGGGACGTGCGATCGGCCCGAGGTTATCTAGAGTCACCAAAGTGCTGCACAACGACTGCCGAGTTTCCCACATTCTAACTTGTGCTGATTACTGGGTGGCCACCCTGCTGGATCCCCATTAGAAGGACAATGTGCCGTCCTTAATTCCCTCACATGGAGAATGATCGGAAGATGCGCGACTACAAGCACACGCTGGTAGATGCGCTGCTGAGGGCATTCCCAACTGACACCGGGGGCTCAGTGGAAGCACAAGGCCAAGGCAGAGGAGGAGGTCGCCAACGCAGCTGGGGCACCGCCAGCACCTCAGAAGGCAGGGTTAGCATGGCCGAAATGTGGAAAAGCTTTGTCAGCATGCCACAACAACCAGCACCACCAGATGATATGGAAGTCTTAGCAGGAGGCAGCATTTCAGCAACATGGTGGAACAGTACGTGTACACACGCCTACACGTACTGACTGATGGGTCTGCCCCATTCAACTTCTGGGTCTCCAAACTGGGCACATGGCCTGAGCTTGCCCTTTATGCCTTGGAGGTGCTGGCCTGCCCTGCAGCCAGTGTATTGTCTGAACGTGTGTTTAGCATGGCAGGGGGCGTTATCACAGACAAGCGCAGCCGCATGTCCACAGCCAACGTGGACAAGCTCATGTTAAAATGAACCAGGCATGGATCCCACCAGACTTGTCTGTACCTTGTGCAGAATAGACCTTTATACCAGCCTCACCCAGCCATTGTTATACTCAAGTGCACTTAATCTTTGTTTTCTTGTTTAAATGTCCCAATATTTTGCAGGGCACTTGTCCTACTCTTACCCCCATTTTACTTCCTTTTGCAGCCCTCTAGCCCTTTCCAGGACTTTTTTAGAGCCATTTTAGTGCCCAAATGTTCGGGTCTCCATTAACTTCAATGGGGTTCGGGTTCGGGGTCAAGTTCGAGGCCAAACTCGAACTTTTTGCCGAAGTTCAGCCGAACCCAGTGAACCCGAACATCCAGGTGTCCGCTCATCTCTAATCCCGACGACCAAAGTTTTGTTTCATTTTTTTCTTTTATTTCTATAAATTCCAGTTTTCCACCACTAGTCTAAATCCACAGTTTCTCTTACCTGCCTAGCATGATTATTAAATCTGTTACACCCTGCTGCGCAAATGGTTTTTACAATGAATGAATGAAGTTGATCTGCAACCTGAATAAACGTCTGATCCTGGCTCCTACAGAGAAAACCTGCGTTATTCTGAACCCAACCTGATTTATGGGACCAACCTGCTTCATTTCCAATCTGATTTACAATACCTACCTGCTTAAATTCACACTGGACTTCGATACCTTCTTGGCATTGTTTCAAACATACTTTATATCTACCTTATCTATGCTACCAACCTGCATAATACAAACATCCCTGTTATTTTGCAACTATCCTAAAACTATCACCTAGAAGTCGGAATATCCTGTATTTCTAAAACCTTTATATTCTGTTTAGTTCTGTCTTATTATATTTGTTTACCTGTAATCTATATTTTTATTTATAGGTTTTCCTTCACTTTCTAGGGATGTGCATGGGCAAAATATTTGTTTCGGTTCGGCATTCCGAAATTCGGGACTTCGGCACGGTTCGGCACTTCACGTAAGTGTAGGGTTAGGAGTAGGGTTAGGGTTGGGTTAAGAGTAGGGTTAGGGGTAGAAGTAGGGTTAGGGATAGGTTAGAAGTAGGGTTAGGAGTAGGGTTAGGGTATGTGTAATGGATCGCCTGGCACCCCGACTGGGTACCTTCCGTTGACTGATGCTCTTAGTGCTTCCTGAGGCCTCCAAGCACTCCACTAGACACCATAACCACCACAGACCCCACGAATCACCGCAGCTGAGTTGGGGTCTTGCCGTCTTCCACCCACTCTGGACCCAAGATCAGGACCCAGCTTCCAGTAGGTAGACTTCTCTTAAATGCAGAGAGCAGGAACAGGAACAAGCTCTTACAAGAGCTTAGTGATTATACTCTGGGGAGTATCGTGATTATAGCAAGTGTAGGTAGTACTCCAATCCCCCAAACATGTAAGACTTCATGAAGGGTAGAACAAGCCTGAGGTTTTATTGATACAAGTTTGCTTATATACAATTCCTCAGGCCAGAGTCACACCCCCTGGACCTGATGGAACACCGCATTTCAAACTGTACAGACCAATAAGAACAAACATACAGTCTGTGACACTCCTATGTACAGAAAACAATCCCTCCCCTCTGCCTGTGATATAATTACAGTAGCTAATACAATAACCTAATTATCCACAGGCAGAAAAACACACATTTTCCCTAAAGTACAGAAAATACCCCAAAACATAACATATTTCCATAAACCATACATTTCCCCGATCTGGGGGAGCAACATACTTAAAAATCACCCAGATCGGTTCAGCTGGAAGTCTCTTTTGACCCACTGCATGCATTTTTTCATGCCCAAAACTGTTCCAAGCATTTGAAGACAAAACACAGCTGGCCGTTCGACAGTTTAAGATGGCCGCCGCCACGTTTTCGTGCATACGAATGGTGACCATCCAGCCGTTTGTCAATTAAGCTGCGGTTAACCACAGCTTCTGGGAGGTAAACAGGCTGCACACTCCACTTGCGGGTGGGTCTGGCTGTTCATCAGTTTGTTTGGTAAACAAACACCATAAGCGTGTTGAACTGTAGAAGGGAAAAAGGCAAGAACAAAGCCTTTGCCAAGACCTGAATCCAGTACTCATATATGGGCCATAGTCACAGGGCAAGAGGCTGGAAAGCCGGCCTCTCTAAATCCCAGTAATGAAGGTGCTTTCGTCACAGTAGGGTTAAAAGTAGGGTTGGGTTAGGAGTAGGGTTAAGGTTAGTAGTAGGGTTAGCGTTGGGTTAAGAGTAGGGTAAGGGGTAGGGTTAGGAGTAGGGTTAGGGTTATGTTAGGAGTAGGGTTAGAGTAGTGTAGGGTTAGGAGTAGGGTTAGGGTTTGGTTACCCCTAACCCTACTCCTACCTCTATCCTAACCCAACCCCAACCGCTAACCCTACCCCTACCCTTTTTTTCACATTTTTTAGAAGTATGAAGCACTTCCGAAATTCGGCAATTCGGCACTTTGGCCATTCGGAAGCATGTGAATGTCCCAATGTCTGAAATTTGTCCGAATTGCACATGTCTTATATTTTCCTTTATAGGTGTTGTTTCCTAAGTAACCTGTTTAGGGCATATTTCCTAACCCTCTATTTAATATTCTCCTTTTTACTCTCATTCCTCTTTATTATTTCCACTTCCCTTTTAAATCCTGCTACATTTATTATTACAAGAAAACCATGTCAAAGATCATAAATAAATAATTAGTCTCTTATGTGACCTAATAAAAAACCTGAGAATCTAATTCTCCCTCAAAGCTCCTCCATGTGTCTTATTCTCCCCAGCCCCTCCATTTGTCTCATTCCCCTCTTAGCTTCACAGTGTCTCATCCCTCCAACTCCTCCATGTGTGTAATTTCCCCCCTTCATGTGTCTCATTCTCCCTCAGCCCCTCTGAGTGTTTTATTGCTCCCCAGTATCTCCTTGAATCTCATCTCCCCCAGCTCCTCCTTGCATCTCATCTCCCCCAGCTCCTCCATGTGTCTCATTCTCCCATTGTCAGCTCCTCTGTATGTCTCCTTTCCTCCCCAAGCCCATCCATGTGTCCCCTTTCCTCCCCCTGTCCCTCCATGTGTCTATTTCCTTCAGACCCTTCATGTATCTCCTTTCTTCTGCCAGCATATCAGTGTGTCTCCTTTTCCTCCAGTCCCTCCATATGACCCCCCACCTTTGTAGGGGGACCCATGTCCTCTCCATGTGTCTCATTCCCCCACAGCCCATCCATGTCTCATCCCCCTAGTTCCTACATGTATCTCATTTCCCCCAAAGCCCCTCCATGTGTCTCATTCTCCCCCATCTCCTCCACATGTCTTATCCTCCCCAGCCCATGTGTCTCATTCCCCTCTCAGCTCCTCTGTGTCTCATCCCTCCAGTTCCTCCATGTGTGTAATTCTCTCCCCCAGTTCCTTCATTTGGACTCCTTCTCCTCCAGTCCCTCTGTGTGTCTCAGTCTCAAGCTCCTCCATGTGTCTCCTTTCCTCCCACAGCCCCTCCATTTGTCTCTTTTCCTCCCCCTGCCCATCCACATGTCTTTTTCCCCACAGCCCTCTCCTATTCTCCTTTACTTCCCCACTCCATCCATGTTGTGGGGATATTTATGGGATAATAATAGTAAACAGTGAGAATTGCCCACTAATTCAATTCTCAGATCCCAAAGATCGTTATCGTGTTAAGTGAAAAGTATTTCATATAGATAAAATCACAATTTGTTATAAAAATAGATTTTATTTTATAATAACCATTAATTAACGATAATAATATGTAACATGCGTGACAATAATCAATGAATATCCAGTATAAAATGATATGCAATACAATGGAATGGGTATACACGTTTCAATGGCTAAACAGCATTTTCTGTCAAGACTTACACGATTTATGAGGGTATCCTTACAGACTCAGAAAGCGAAGCTTTTCACAGCGAAGGGCCATAAAACCCTGGCTAACAGTTAGATCAACTGAATAACCCTTTCAATGCTGGCTAGATCTTCCTAGGTAATTAAGATCTATTCTTATGTAATTTTAAATAAAATAACATTAAACCAGTTCATTAGTCATTTCCTGGAACCATCCAATAAGAGAATCTACCATGTTTTTTACAAAAGCCGAATTTAATTTGTCTAAAATATATCTTATCTTATATTAGAACAAATCAATACACCTGGATAAAAACAGCGGTATGCTAACACGTGATGATATCACATTAATATATAATTCTTCTTCATTCCACCTGCAGAATGGAATGTTTATAACTATATATTCTTTAGTTAACTAAGATTTCTTAATATGGAAATCTGACCGTGATTTATCCAGTCATATATCATGCTATTAGTAAATGTAATTAATTTAATTAAATGAAACCAGTATAATTACCAGTTGAGTAGATATTTTCATCAAATTGGTAGTCTCAGGAACTTGTTTGGATGTCTCTCTGCATGGAGGTGTGTAGGAATTTCTGAGTGTCCTAGAGTGTCATTGCTTCCGACTGCTCACTTCTTTTCTTTCTTTACATACCCTTGCATTCCTCGCCTACCTTCTCCTTT